AATTTAACACTTACCGCACTTTATTAAAAATATGCAAGAGATTGAGATTGTTAAAATATACATCAAGTCTTTCATACTGGATCGAATTCAATTCACCGTAACAACTGCAATTTAAAATGTAATTTTATCTTTAACGCGGTAAAATAATGAGAAACTGAGAAATATGAAACAGCAAAAAATATTTAAGGTTTAGAAATTTGTAATTGCAATAATTATTATTAAATTTTAAAACTAAAATTGTCTCTTCACTGATGTACAAAATTCTGATTGTATTCAATTAATGCAATAAATGTAACCCTTCGCAAGATATGCCCCCGAAATTAATCTATTTTAATGTGGTATAAAAAATATACTGTGTATTATAATATAGTACATGTGATATGATGCTTTTATTTAAAAATTACGTGGGAAGAAGGTAAAATTTTAGTGAATGTACTGTACTGTAAAATAAGCAGATTACATTAATTAGTGGGGCACTTAGGATTTAATCTAATGGAGCCGAGTTGAACGGATAAGAAAGAATTTTAATTCGAATTTAAAATTTCCACCTTATGTGATCGCTAATTCATAAGTAGTATAGAAATAATTAGTAGAAGACACGACACAATATAAATAGAAAAACGAATTTTAATTAAGAAAAGATTTTCGGAAAAAAGTTTTATAGTGTAATTTTTTCATTTCCTTTGAAGGGGCCAAGGTCCCTTGACCCCTCCAAAAGAAATGGTAAAAATTATTATAATTAATTATTTAAATTATTAAATTATTAATGGATTACATTAATAATTCCTCCTGTTTTCTTCAAGAAAAGATAGGTGTCGCCACATGACGCTTAAATTTAAGCGTCATATGGCGACACCTATCTTTTCCTGGAGGAAAAAAAAACATAGAGAAAGTGCTGCTATCTTGTGACTATAATATTAAACAATAATTTTTTTTTCCTGTGTAATATAGTGTTTTAAGTGTTCCAGAACAAAACAATTTATTNTTGTACGATTCACTTAGATTTTACAAATACGTGTGCCGGGCTGTGAACGGCTCACGTATTTGTAAAATTTAAGTGACTCGTACAAGGGGGGTCGACTGTAATTTACAGGAAAGTCTAAAAGTCAATTAACCAAAGTTACCTAATTTTTTTTATATATTGTTTAACTGAATTTTGGGCCCTCGCTATACTTAAGCCTACGTATTCAATACAAACCAATACATTTATTTTATTTAAATATAGGAATATACACAAACCTCTCTACAAAATTTCAGAAATTTTTGACAAAAGACACAAGGGTTATTAAAGGGGGGTCGACTGTAGTGGTAAGGGGAAAAAATATGAAATTTCACAATGATGAATTCTCTGTATACTTTTTCAGCAGTTTCATATAAATTAATCGTTTCTTCCTGGAAATTAATATACTAAAAATGTGAAGAAAATCCGGTAAACTCATGTGATCAGCTCGTTAGTGAAGGACGAACCCCCGACAATTACCAGTGTTTATCCATTCGTCTACTTATGGGCAGATTTAAATTGCAATCTCATGCATCATAAATACGAAAATATAACAAAATACTTTATTTTTCTATATACTTTTTTAAATTTTACATTTAATAGGATGTATTTTAATTGTATTCTGTTTAGAAACATTCCTTTAATTATGCTTAGTTTTTGCTAAACAAGTCAATCAATTGAGTCAGAGGTGAATCGCTGTCTGCTTTCGGTTGGGTACCGACTGGAGGAAGTAAAGCTTTGCATTTATCATCCTCTGGACTGAAATTTTGGCATAAAATATCAGGAAAATTTCCAGCAAAAAACGAGACAAATTTCATAATATAATCTTTAGCTTCTGTTCCGCATTTCTTCTCTACAAATTCGGTACCACAACTACGGAATCTACGATAGGAGCTACAAGAAATAACATCAATTATAAGTTTTAAAATTTATTAAATTAAAAATTAAATTAAGTATTAAATATTGTAATTTATTTACCAGCAAGAAAGGGTTATTCTATCTTTTGCAGGTACTGTAGAAATCTTATCTATAGCAGCTCGAGCATCGTTGGCGCAAGCTTGTTGATCGCTCCATACTTCACGGAGGCACGAAGCGTGTTTCAATAAGGCTTTTAAAAGTAAAAATATAAATATAAAGCTGTTTAAAAGTTAAATAAATGAGTAAATATATTAATATATCTTACTGGTTCGCAGTTCGTTTCCAGGGGTACAAAAATTGTTTATGTTTTCGTTAGATTCGTCAGTACCATAAGCCAATAATTGTCTGTACAATGGTGTTGCGCATTTATTTGTGTAATTAGTGGCACAAGCAATGGCTTCTTTTAGAGATCTAAAATATATAAGAATAATATTAAATATATATTTTATATATATGTATAAATATATAAATATAATAAGACTTACGAGCATTGTTTATCGATTTCTTCTTCATTTTGTGGAATGGGATTATTCTGTAAAATAGTTCTTCCTTCTGCAGAACAGGCGTCTAATTCGTTCCAATGGCAAGGATCTTCTTTTGATCTTTTTACACCTATTAATTGTATAAATAATAATTTTAATAATATAAAATTATTAAAAGATAAGTGATTTATCTTTAGATGATTATTAATTAGTTATAGTTTAATTTAATGTTTGTAATTAATCAGTTATACGATATTTAAATATATATTTCTTAATTTAAGTACATACATTAAATTATTTATAGCTTAAATTTTATATAATGTAATCCGTCTTGAATGTTTAGAATTATAAACGTTAATACAAAGAAGATACAATAGAAGGGTCTGAGACGTAAAGATGGCAGCCTACAGCTCTGGGAAACCGGAATCGAATCCGGACAGGTTAGGATTTTTCGGTGGTTTATCTCGAATATATCAGGCCCTTGAACATACAACTCTGGAGGATCCGGGTTCGGATCCGGAGGAAGTTTTCGAGGAGACCATGTTCGTTATCATTGGGCCACTCTATTGTGGGCCTGGGCCCATAGTGGGCTTGCTATAAAAAGCCCCGTAGTGCCCTTAGAGTAAAAATAATTATAAAAAAAAAGAAGAATATGTGAAACAGATCGAACTTACGATGGATCCAGAAAGGATCCACAGGACGGAAAGAAGCAAATACAACGTACATTCGTCTAAAAACTATTGATAATTAATCTTTAAATATCTAAACAACGATAATTATAATATTGGTAGACTTTAT